TGAGGAATATGTTTTATCTTCCTTCATTGACCTGAGCTGTTCATAAGTTTCCAATTTTAAAAGTTAGTAGTAACTTTTATAATAATATTCAGAGGATTATATTGGCAATTTGATAGGATGAATTAGGAAATATTTGATTATTGTAGATTTTTGACCTCTCTTAATCTACAATTAAAACTTGGGGATGTGGCAAAGATTGTGAAAATGTTGTTTTATCCACCTATGTGAAGGCTTAAAATTTTAGCTCTGAAATTCTCTTTCATGTCATTTTTTTCCAATATTTAATTTTTATAAATGAGGCCAACAAAGGAAAATTAACTATACTTTTCATGATGACTAAGGTAGCTAGCAACAGATTCTGCTCTAAAGAAGCCATGCTTATTAGTTCTGTAGGATTCACATAAGATCCTAAATGTTTGCTTTCTCCAGTGCGAGATCGTTTCACTTAAAGATCTGCATTCCAGCAATAGCTCATTACTTCTTATGGAAAAGCAAAGCCCAAAATTCTGTGAGAAGGGTTGTGGTTTGGGGGTGGTAGGGATAAGTGCTCAATAAACGAACCTGCAAGAAGAATATTATTTATATATTTAGAACCATTCTGTTTTTGTGTAACAATATATTTAAAAACTGAATATTTCTGTCTGAAGACCATCCTCCAATTGTGAAGTCTTTCTTTGGAGCTATTTACCTCTGTACAGAGGAAGTAGGAGAAAAGAGCATCACTCATTTGCAATCTTTCTTCTAGGTAAACTGTCAGGTGTTTTAAATGCTTTTTAGGGAAAAATATAATAGAGGATACTTAACCACATCCTTTGAATGGCTTTTATGCTGGCCATGTTAATTATATCAATGCATCTGTCATCAAAATGGAACTTTCTAACTTAGAGATTCTTATTGAATGTCTATTTTAGTTTAGTAATTTTAATTCTTTAAAAAGTACAAATGTATACATCTCTAGTTTAGTTATTTTCATTCTTAACAAAAAGAGCTTGGGGAATATAACTACCACTAAAGTTGGAGGACAGGAAATTAGATAATAATATAAATAATTCACTGATACTTCTAATTCAATTACCAATATTTTTGCTATTTTAAGGGTTTATAGACATCCTCTCTTGTTTTATCTACTACATAACTATTGAATCTAACATGGTACTTCCATTCACACAGCTATCATGATATCAAGCCTTTTCTCCTAAAATATTTTAACAGTCTCAAAATTGGTTGCCCTTCCAGGGTCTTTCATTCTCCATGGTGTTGTCAAATTTAATAACAGCACTCCATCAACTAAACACTATCCATGGCTCCCTATGACCTAAAGGATAAATTCCAAATTACTTAACTTACAGGCCTTGTTACCATCTGGCTCCAATTTGCCCCTGTTCATCTCTTGTCATTATTTCCCTCTTGCATGTCTTCCAGGCTGTTTCATGAAGCTATTACCATGCTAGTCCCTCTGTGTGAAGAATCCATTTTCCTTATATGCAGAGAGGGTTTATGAAATCTTTCAGACTACTCAGTGATCTCCTTACCTCAGCAAAGGCTTCCCTATTCCTGCTGCACTTTTGCAATATTTGCATATGCCTCTGACCCTGATCTAATTTATGTGTTTACCTAGATATCAATCTTTCCCACTGAACTGGCTTTGAAGACAGGGACTTATTCATCTTTATAAAACCACGGCCTAAGCATAATGCATGTCACAGAAAGACAGGTAAATGCTGAATGAATTAATGAATGAATGGGCAAGAGCTAAAGGGAAGAAATAAAAAAATGAAAAAAAAAAATGAACCATTGATGCAATTTAAAATAAACTTTCTGACTTACACATCCAGTAGTATGTATTTTATCATATATTATTAACATTATACTATGTCATATTGTGTTATTTTAGTGAAAACTGATGGAGTGCTATATATGTGTACAGAGAGATATTAGAAAAAGGTTCATATGACTAAGATTGCATTTAAGTGCCCCTAAATTAGTAATTTGACTAATGTATTTTGGCTTTTGTTTTACTTTTTCAATGTGGTGTTTGGATTTGATAGGAAGGAGTACTGGGTTAGAGGAGATAGCTGAGAAAGAGGGATGGAATTTCTCAGGCAAACTGCAAGGCAAATGTCAATCTGAACTTTTATTTAAATCACAGAATTTAGAAACTTCAGAGGTTTGTGGCTAGGCAAATATTAAAAAATAGCGCTTCATTTATGGAATTATTCTGTGGTTTACATCAGAATATTTGGGGGCAAAAACACTTTCTAAAGGATAAAGTCCTAAGACCTAACTTTTCTCCATTAATTAAAAGAGCCCTTATTCTGAAATCTCTCATAGACTTTTCATGTTCTCAAATTACTTTATCGTGAATGGCATGTCCCATCCTTTAGATGAGCTGAGGCTCTAGTTTTAATGAATAAAATCCATGAGATATAAAATACTGGTCTGGTTAAGTAAACAAAGAGGTTTATGTCCAAACTAATACATTGGTATAAAAAGTCTCATTTTTCCACTTGCATATAGGCAACTAAAAACCCACAGCATTCACTATGTCTTTATGGGGCAAATGCAAGGAATAGAATAAACCAATTCCTCTTCACAAAGAGCAAATTAATGACTCTTTTCTTCATTGGCTATGGAGTTGGTGGGATTCAGGCTGGCTGCAATTAGTGCCTCATTAGTAACTACCAGGTAATTATTGGCCTGCATTCAGGCATTGGCAGATGCCTGACAAGGCACTTAATGAATTTTTCATTAGTCTTTCTGAGAAAGCCTTCAGGAGAAAATATTTCTGAAGGCTGCAACTCTTTAACTTTGCTTTTTTTTCCACTTGAGCCTTAAGGTATATTCAAAATCAAATTTAAAATTTTAATACCATTATACTAAACTATCTTTCAGCCAAATATTTTTTTCCTTTTTTTTTTATTAAGTCAAATACACATAGATCATGAATACATTCATGCATATCTGGGGTACAATGTGCTGATTTTTTTTTATACAATCTGATGTGGTTCCATTAAACCAATCAACTATTTTGCTATATTTTACTAAATTTTACTGTATTTTACTAAATTCAGTATTTTTCCCTGCTATCTATGTCTCTCTACCCAAAGTCACCATGGGTACCATGACTGAAAGACACTTTGTTTATCTGCATTTAATTTTGTATTATGTTTTTAAAAGCATTAATCACTACATATGTGACATAATTTTTAAGTAAGTAAAAGATGGAGTCAATAGTTTCTAATAGACCTACCATTTAAAAAATAATTTTTGTTATTCAAACACCAATGTTCAAATATTTGATGCTGTGACATGTTTTTAAATGTTAATGTACCCAGCTAAAATTTCTATGAATTTTAGTGTACAGTGAAATTTTAGCACAAAGTAATACATTAGCAACTATCTATCATTTTATATGGATGCCAAAAATGTACCACTTCATGATTACATAGGGAAAATACAAATGGCCACAAGCAAACTTACAATTACATCATCCAAGAATGAGGGAGAATATTTCATTATTGTTTGGGAGGGAATCTAATTTCTAAATGTTAAATGTGATTTTAGTTTGTCAACATTAATTTTGTTATAATTAAAATCTTGAAATGATCTTTAATTCTACCCTTAAATTGCATTCTACCAAGTCAACACCTAAGTAAATGGCTTACCCAGCTACATTTTCTCTACTTCTTAACCTTAAGAAAGTATCTCTAAAAATTTCCTGTCAGTATTTCTAGTTAGAAGAATGTATTTATTTAAAGATTAACTTGAGAGGGACATATGTAAATTACAAAATAGTGAGACATAATAAACTCATTAGTTTCATCCTTCTAAAAACTCTATACTGGAGTACATTTGCAGGGTCTCACATAATGATTAACAATAATTTCCTCTCCCTTACTACTTCTCCTCATTCCCTCCTCCTCAATGTTTTTTTTTTGTCCTAATCTTATTGTTAGAATAGTGAGCAATTTATTCAGTGGAACCATACCAACATATAGGGCTTTATTTTAGACCTCTCTTTGAAAGTTGTATTTTAAGAGAGAAAAAAAATAAAAAAAAATAAAAGAAACAAAAAATTACTCGCATCTAAAATGTTTTGAAGGTTTGATGAAATAATTTGTGGTTTCGGGTGGCCCCTGTGGCTCAAAGGAGTTTAGCGCCAGCCCCATATGCCGGAGGTGGTGGTTTCAAACCCATCCCATTGTGGTTTCTGCTATATCCACATCATATTTACTTGAACCACACTTTTTTCTTTACTATACCCCATCTGTTCTTATTTCCCTCACTCGCAGTTATTTTTGTTTCTCTAACAGGCCTTCTCCCCCAGTATAATTCTAGGGTTAACATATTTTATAGACTTTTTTTTCATTCATTTGTTTTATACTTAGAGTTTTTTTTTTTTTAATTTACTAAGAATTAAAGAAAAGTAAAAGAAAACATCTATAGATTTTTACATTCATTTATATTAACATTATTTTCCATTGAGTATTACTCTATTTTTGAAAGCTACTTTTTGCGTTTACTTTTCTTCTTGCTGTTGGTTAGATAACAATAACTTTCATCAAATAGATAGCTTACTTGATAACTTTAAAATACTATTTTCATTGTCTGTCAAGAGCTACATTTTATTCAATTCTTAAGAAAACTCAAACCTTGCCAGATTGTAATAATAGCCTAATGTCTATAAGCAAATATCCTTCTATTCCAACTCAATTAAAATAGATGTACATACTAATTTGTAATTTACCATAGACTAGAAAAACTATTTATAAAAACACAATTTAAAGGAAACACTGACAGTGTGAAAATGATTTTATGCATAAATTATAAAATTTCTAAATAAATATATCCAATTTATCAATATTATCATAAAGGAATATAACAATGTAACTTTAAATTAAACATGTATTTGATGAGAAAAAGCAAAAATAAACATATATTTTTAAATTAATATTTTATGCACCGGAAAAATACTGAATCATTTATACTAATGGACCAACCTTTGTGTCTATGAGATCCATCCATGTTGCTAAATTCAATGTGATTTTCATCAGCCCAGTAGAGTCTGTGGTTGACATAATCTATCGTTAGTGCCATAGGTCTAGAAATCTTGGTTTCTATGACAACACTCTGATTGGTTCCATCCATTCCAACACGGCCAATGTGAGGATACTCACAGCAGTCAATCCAATACAAATACCTAGAAAGGAAAATCAATAACCAGCTTGTTTACAGATGCTTCAGGAGCAATACATCATACAAGATTTCACATTTTTGTCCCTCTATCCTCAAATTAATTCTTGATATCTCTTTGAATTGAAGCTTTTAAGAAGGATATTACAATGCAAAATTTCTTAGGAGTTTTCTATTAAACATCTAGTATGGTTTAAAATAGTCTTATAATGTTAAACATATGTTTCTTTTTAGTATACTAACTCATGTACATAAGAAGATAGTTTTACAAATGTTGAAAAATTATGGCTGTGCAAAACAAACATATCTAACAAATGTAAACTTTCAAAAAGCACCTAAAATATTAGAGGAATAAACTATCTCTCTCTCTCCCTCTCTCTCTATCCATCCATCCATCTATCTATCATCTATCTGTATTTTGTTCCTTATCTATTAAAAAATCCAAAGGAATCATGGAGGTACACATTTCATTTGCTTGCATACAAATTATTCAGTGTAGTAGCCGCTGGCCAATTATGAGTATTTAAGTTTAAACTAATTAAAATCAAATAACATTAAATGAACTGATTTGTTAGCCATACTAGCACTACTTCAAGTACTAATAACCATGTGTCTAGCAGACATCATACATAGAACACTTCCATACTACAGGAAGTTCTACTGGAAAGCCCTGATTCGAATTGTTAGTAAAAGTTTTAGAGTCAGATGTTTCAGGTTGGGGAAAGAGTAAAATGCCAAAAGTGATCTTGATACTAATACTATGTAATTAGGTTGAGTTAAGTATAAACATTGTACCCTATAAAGCTCAAATAATGTGTAAGCAAGAGATTCCTTAGAAATTTATCTTTAATTAATCCATGTTTTTTCTCCAAGTAGTAAAAGTCACTTTAATTTTTGGATGTTTTCTTATCTATATAAAGTTAGAGGATCTTTAGCATCCTTTTCTCATTCCAACTCTGAAATTGAAATCGGTTAAACCAATTAAATTTTTCTAGACTTAATTCTTCCTTTTTGCTAAGTATTATACTTGACAGTTCTTCAGATTTAGAAGATGTGTAATTAAAATAACTTATATGAAAATTCTATGTAGTTTAAAAATTGGTGCATTTGGTTCAAAATGTTCTTTAAGTGAATTTTTTTCTTATAAATTCTAACAAAGATAATTATTTTTAAATATTTTAACCATACACTGTAAAAAAAGAAATAAGAGTTTTCAGGAAAAAACTTATCAAATACAGAGTTAACCTAAATAATCATTATAAAGAACACACGCATTTTTTGTGTTGACAATCACTTTATTGGTATAAAGAAAATTATGGATTATAAAAATAACTTAAATGTTCTTTGATAGCTAAAATATCACTGAAGTACTAATTAAGCAAGGAGCTTTAAAGAGAAATATGTCTCCAATGCGGACAAAATGAAAGGTGGAATTCTGTTAAAAGAAATTCAAAATCTAAAACAAACTTAAGTCTGGAAAAACCAACTTGGCATCACATAGAGCAACACTTGAATTGATACCCAATGCTTCTATAGGTCTGCATTAATTTAGGGATATTTTTAAAATCCTAAATCACCAAGTAATAACAGATGTCACACCTATCAGAAAATAATATTCTGTTTCTTTAAGTCTTGAATTATTTTTGTTATGTTTACCTTTGGAAAAGTACATATATATCATTAAAATAAATCTTCCAGGAAAACATATCATCTATTTCTTTCAAATAAAATTATGGAGGAGTACCTTGCCATCTCTAGTAATGAAGAAACTGTATCATAAAATTGTAGAGATGAAAAGAAATTTTACTTTGTCAAAATATATCAACATTCATCCTAGCTTTACTGACCCTGCATCTTGGTACCACTAACATGTTAATTTTTTTCTATTAAGTATGATATACTAGCTTCCCTCATGCATATTAGATAGGATAAAATTTATTTGAGCTGCACACACCATGTTATGTCTTTAAAAACTGTGTACAAGAAAATAAAAATTTAAAAGTAATATTTCGATCATTTCTGAAACAGAACATATGTAAATTGTTTTAATTAAAGATAGTCTTCCTATTTGTATGCTCTACATGTGCTTGTATTTGCAATTAAAATGTTCCACAAGTAAAAAAGGATTTTTTCCACTAAATGCTGTCAACAGAATTATTGCAAATTATTGAATATACATAATAATTTTTTAAGTCATTAGGTAAATTTCAATTTTCAAATTGTCAAACTTGTACATAATTGCAATTCTAAATTTTCATCTATATTATGAACGTTTTATCTGATAGTTTTATCAATATTGTGGATCTAGAAGAGAAAAAGCAAATTTCGTGAAGTCCAACATCTGTTATATCATGCTTCGTAAGTTTGGTGACTGTTCTAGGTCTGAAATTCTTTCCCTGGCATAAATGCCCCAAGTACACAGTATTTGTCCAAATTACTCCCCATTACTGAATGTATGAGGTTTAGCTCTAGGCCATGTTTTTAGTTATAGTCTTACATTTTTACTTCTATGCTTTTTATCATATCACTTGCTTTGTTCATGCCTATTCAATTATACTGACATTTTCATTGAGACATAGTTCACTTTGTCCCCTCTGCTCTTCAGTTTTTCCTTGATTAGTGTTAGTTCTCATTTTCAAGGTAGGTAACAAGATCAGATATATTTGAGAAATGCTTTATTAAAGAAACTGTGTTTATTTGTTTGTTTGTTTTTTTACTCTAGGTCTTTTCAGAACCTTTAACATGCTATGTTACGTTGTGATTCTTTAAGAGGAGCTGCAATGTAGTACCCTTTTGTATCAGATAGTCTTGGGTGACAGATTGTATTTTCCTAAGCAGTTCACAGAATTACTGTACCAGGAAACACATTTTGGAAAGCTGTGCTTTAGCCTTTTCTGGTCTACAGAATTTAATTTCTTTGTTACATGTGTAATAGAACAAGACATATTAACATGTACATAGGATCTCAGAAGTAGTAATGATGCAGGTAGTGAAATCTCATAGTCAGAGAACCTTACTTCATAAGCCAGTGTTGGAACATCTCTGATAAGCCCTAAAGACATTCTTAAGTGGATAGAGTCATATTTGAAACAATGATTAACAGAACCCATACTGTACAGCAGATAACTCTAAACAATAGGAAGATAAGAGGTGAAAAGAGATGACTTTTGCCTTCAAAGGTCTCTCAGTGATTTCAGTAGAGATTTAGGTAAAATATATACCATCATAGGATAAAACAATGTTATTATTGTGGGGGTACAAACGAATAAATGATATTTTTTCCTAGATGGAGGATAGCATGAAAGAAATTTTGCGCTTACCAATAGTTCTTTGGAACTAAATTTTATCTTCAGAACTAACAAATATTTCTTAAGAAGCATGATCTTTTATAACTTTCAAATTTTAAGAAAAAGTATAATTTTGTTGAAGATTTTAATTCAACAACAGGTATTGAAGGTAACGTAGCTTAAGGCCTTCACTGATAAACCAAGCACAAAATATTAAGTGCTTTGTCTATTATGATAGTGATAGACAAAATCAGAACAAAGACTTAGGTTTCTAGGAGATTTGTAGGCTTTCTTTTTTAATAAGCGCTGAGTAGACACTGAAGCAAACAAACTCCAGAAGCAAATTATTTGGGTTCAAGTCCCAGATCCTCCCGTTACTAGCTGTATGAACGTGGGAGACTGAATTTGCTTTCATGAGCCTGTATTAACTCATAAGTTGAAGGGTAATTATAGTTTTTTCTCATAGGGTCACTGCAAGTAGCAAATTAGAAAACACATGGAACAAACTTAGGCCATTGATAATATGCATGTAGCAAGTATTCAGCAAATATTAGCCATCATTTCATTTGCTCTAGAAATACAATATGTGTATTAATTTTACTTTTAGTTTGATAATATCTACCCACAATCTGGACTGTATGTGCATTATGACATGGTTTGCCTGGATTTTATGCATGTTACTACATAAAATAAAGTTCCTTCACATATTTTCATTAGCATATATTTCAAATTTAAAATAACACTATTTTTTATGAATTCACTAATAGACTATTTAAGTATTATTTATTAACCAGAAGAATATTACAAAAATACTTTATGGTACCAAAGAAACATGTTTGACTGTACTCAGGTAAGCGTGAGCCTTGATAAACATGAGATTTATAGTGTCTCTCAGTAAGAGGTAGCTGACCTCTTATGGTTAAATATCATTTCCTTTCCATACTTAAACTCAATTTATTTATTTATTTATTTATTTTTTGACAAGGTGTTTCAAGCTGTCCCTGGGTAGAGTACTGTGGTGTCATAGCTCACAGCAACCTCCAATTCTGGCGCAGTTTTTCTATTTTTAGTAGAGACAGGGGTCTCATTTTTGCTCAGGCTGATCTCAAAGTCATGAGCTCAAGCAATCCACTCACCTTGGCCTCTCAGAGTGCTAGGATTATAGGCGTGTCCACCATAAAATCAATTTCTATACTTTTTAATTTGGTCCAAAGGCCTGACTAAACATAATGATAATTTTTACTTCTTGAAATGAAATTCCTAAAATATTATCTATGTGTAAAATTTGTTGTAATTAAAGCTGAAAATGAAAACGTCAGTGAAAATGTCAAAAGAAGAATCCTAAATTGTACCCAGATAATGTGCAATGTTTACTCAAGATCACATATAAAAAATTTAAGCCTCAAAGAATAGGACTCTGGAAGTTATAACCAAGTGTAAACATATTTTAAAAATTCTGCTTGTAACCATAACAACACACCTGAATGGTTCTGAGGATCTTTTATAATTAAATATATTTCTTTAAAATTGGTTAAATAGAATTCTTTTCGGTTTTTATTTATTTATTTGAATTCTGGTAATAAATTTAGAGAAACTTCTACCTGATGTTAGTTCTGATTTTGAATTTAAAATTAATCATTTATATTTATTCACTGTGAGTTTTTGCCTAAATTGAAATACTAGAAATACTGAAATTGGCTCACAGGATAAGTTTAAAAATTATTAGAATTCTTTTTCCTTATCTGATATATAGTTTAATAAAATATTTCTGTGTTTCTCCTACAGAAATCAGAGACGAATTTTTCATCCTGGTATGCTTACCATTGCATCACAACAAAAGTTCCCTTGTGACTTTCTCCTTGAAACATGCAGGCTATTTACATACCAATGAATTGGTCTGTGCACAGGTGCAGCTACAATGTCCCTGTAGCTATAACCCCATGCTCTTTGTTTGTTCAGTTACTCATTTATTATTTTCTGCCACAGTAAATTTAACATTCTCTATGTTAGGCACAAACAATGGCTAAGATGTGGATTTGTGCCAAAGGAACTCACTTATTAGATGGAAAGCTAAACAATGACACTAAAAATAATCACATCATATTAAATGTTTCATATATTGTGACCTCTTGGGCATGATTAGGGAATATTTTGCAGAGCTTTGCCTAATTTATTTGCATTATCATTATCCATGTTGGCAATAAGGGATACGAGTACTGAGTATATAAAGTGTCCTTCACATACTTTCATTAACATACATATTTGAACTTAACACTATTATTATAAATTTGCTAATAGATTATTATAAAAGAAAAATAAAATATGGTTTTAAATACAAGGAATGCTTATAATGATTCAGACAGCATTCTTTATTTCTAAAAAACTCATTTCACTTATATTAATTTAAAATTTTTAAAAAAGGGTAATTATTAAAATGAAAACAAAGTACAGCATTTAGGAAGTCATTTTTCTTGATCCCTTGTTCAGATGGTTCTTGCAAAATGTGCTCATAAACAAATATTATGTTTTTGCTGGAAACTGTAATATGATGTAATAGGGAAATATTAGGCCAAACCCTAAAAACTGGGTTAAATTTCTAGTTTTATATTTTACCACTAAATAATTATGAATAAGTCACTTAGCCAGTTTGGCTGAATGTTCTTATTTATACTGCAAAGAAAGTAATGAACATAATCCTATCTTTCTCAGAAACTTCAGGTAAACAGTATATATATCTAAAAAGATAAAACTAATAGAAAATTTTCTACTTCATAAAATACTATAAAAATGGTTGTTACCTTCATTATCATTATTATACGGGAGCTCCCAATCCCGATAGGTCTAAAACTGATCATCTCCCTATCTTGTGTCTGCCTCTTTTCCAGCATTCCTCATATTCTGGAGAAATCATTCCTCCATTTATCATTTGCCCAAATCAGAAACCTTGTAAGGTTTGAGTTTTGTTGTTGTCATTGTGTTGTGTTTTGATTTATTCCTGTCTCTTATAGTGTAAACTGGTTCCACAATGGCATATACTTGAATTGTTCCAGTCCCCCTTGAAATTTGCTGTATGAGCCATGCTCTTCTCTGTGCTTTCCCAGGGTCTGCTTTTGCTAGAAATATCTCCCACCTTGCAGTGCAGCACATTACCTGGCTACTTTTTACTCTACGATGTTTGTCCAGGAAGATTTCTTTGATCCCAGTTGAGATAGACACATTTCTTATTTTCTCTACTGTATGAGCTATTCAATCTTACTGTGATTATTTACTCACCTGCCTGCATACTGGATTGTGAAATACTTGAGGACAGGGACTGTGTCTTTTATTTTTATACTCATTGCTGCCTAAAGCAATGGCAGGTATATATGTATGCTGAAGTAATATGAGTTGGATAAATGAATGAGTAGATCATTTTCGTTTCTGTTAATTAGAAGCATCATACATTTACTTTAATCTCTATCATAATGGTCTTTTGTTATGATTAACTGAAGTGACATCTTAATTATCCAAAAAGATAAAATTACATGCAGCACAGTTTTTACATTAATTATATTTCCTACTCGATTTTTAAAATGCTTCTACATATCCTGCATAAATTATAATTTTTATAAATATTAAATGTAAGTTATTATAATAACCCAACATTTATAATAAATTAGAATACTCATTCCCAAACTAGACCAATAACAGGATGATTAGTATAAAATTGTGAGAGAAATTAGGATTTGAATTGAATTTAAACAAAACAGGTAGGAAGATGATCTGTCTACTTGCATATTCCTTAGTCTTCCTACTAACTGCTGTATCCAAACTAATATTGTGATAATTAGCATACTATTATTAAGATATGGAAAGGAACCCTAAGATACCTTCTAAAAGTTTAGTCACTTCATAACATTAGAGAGGCCAATGATCCCTTTTCTCCCCTAAAGAAATCCTTGCTTTATCCTTTACTAAATATCACACAGAAAGCATACGTTTTAAGGAAACAAGTCCTTACATAAAACAAGTAGTATTTATGTATTCAAGATATGCAAGTCACAGTGGTAATGTAATATAGAAGAGTTCAATTGTATTTTTATTAAATAATCTTACAATTTAAGCTGTCATTTTTGAAGCAGAATTATACAATAAATTTTATATAGTTACAGTATTTTTAGCCTGAAGCTCATTTCATACAAGGTTGCCTTATTGTCTCACTCTGGGGAAACAGGAAAATGGCATGAACAAAAAAAGAGTCATTAAATTTTGTCTATTAAAATAAGTGACTTTAATTGTTTCATAAAAGATACAACTTTTATCTGGTTCTTTAGTTAGAATATATAGCCCATCCTTATCACAATCCAAATATTATCCAAAAATAAAGTCAAGAGAATCTTTTATAACATCTACAATAATTTAGTATTTGGCATTTTTAATTGACACTTTAATGTATGGGTTTATGCTGATGATAACTTAAGATTGCTTTTGGTTTATGGGGTAATAACTCTAACCTGGAAGAAATAAACTGTAAAACTACATTCACCTGCATTCTCTAGACTAGGATATGGTTTTTGCATCATAAATGGGAAATCCCACAACACTACTATTAAGAAATAATGCTTCTTTCCTTTGAAAGTGAAGTATCATGAACGCATGAAATAAGAAGCAAAGTGAGCCATATTGATCCTGAAGGAAAGAACAATGGCTTGGATACTCAAAAATAAATATTTTCTGATAAAGTATCAAAGGAATTAAAATAGTCACACAGTTATGAATGAATAGAAATGATAACCAAATTTAGTATATAAAGCCATTACTTCTTGAAACATCTATACAAATAGAATCTCTTGGGAGTCTCTTTCAGTTAAAACTGACACCAGTTTGAACCTTCTGGTGCTATGGTAAAGAAAACATCCAAAAGATAACAAAATGATAGCATAATTATACACTGAAAAGTTAAAATGAGCACATTACCTTGGAAACAGAAGTACATTCACAGTACAAATATTTTTCTATCATGTACTCTTATCCAAAGTAATGTTTAAAATTAAGCTACAAAATATACTTGACATAATCACTTTGCCAATTATAAGCAGGAGGAACCATAAAACAAAGATATAGAACATTAGCAAGAAGCAAAATCTAATTGTTTCATGTGGCATAATAAAAGCAGTGGTTTAGTGAAACATATTATGTGAATGAAATTAATTTAGATAGAATATTTAGAGCACTAAAGTTATCCTACCAGTTGTTACTATGAATGTGTGCTACTTTTTAAAATATCAAAATTTCTTGATATTTCTTATTTTAACAAGTATATCTTGTTGGTTGCACTCTACAAAGATGGTTTGGAATATGTAATCACTCCAAATTATGGTGCAAAAAAACAAGGTAAGGCATGCATTCTCTACCTGTCAAAACACGTAATTGAAAGTGAAGGATAATGGTTATAACCTGGCATAGCAAACATACCCCAAACAGCTTTGACACTTAATACGCACTCCTCCTTCATCTGAAATCTCCAGCCTGCTGTCCTTGGTGGTAACAATGACTTTCCCCTATTCTCACAATCAACGCAAATGAAACACAGCTCTAAAATATGAACGTTCCCTGATATTCACACTTAATTTTCCTTCTTGTAGGCATTTGTTAATGTACCTTGTCATATATTATCAATGGATATTGCGTATGTCTCCTGCTATAAAGTGAAGCAGGGATTACATTATCCATATGTATAATGTATAAACGTGGAAAACACGATCCAAAACTGTGTTCTTAGTCTGCCTTCCACCCACAATTTAAAAACATTATAAGCAGTGAAATCTGTATGCTTTATTCATTTCTGCAATAAGTTTAATGGTTAGTTTTAAAGAGAATTGTGTTTAAACCTTAAAATAATAGTTGCTATAAAATCATTTCATTTTAACTTATGTCTTTCACGCTGACAGTCATATTGCTGGTTTTGATTCTTCAGTAAGAATTTCTACATATTTACATTTTACGTTGGGTTTATACATTAATGATCTATAGAACTAGGTTTAGCACAATGGATATCATTCACAGTCTTAATCTTCAAGATTTTTAAAATTGTTACATACCCAGCTTGAGGATCTAAAGACAGGTCCCTGGGAAACTTTAGCCTTTTGCTAACCAGTATGGTGGGGTACAAGCCGTTGAGTTTGGATACTTCAATCATCCTTTTTTCTGTGTCAGACCAATAGAGGTTTTTTCCAATCCAATCCACAGCAAGTGCATTAGGGACAGCTGTGTTATGTACTACCTAACAAAATAAGAATTTTAAAAGTTAATAGTATAAATTCCTGAAATAAGAACTGAGCAATTGCTTCTTAATTTTTATAGAGATATAGAATTTTGTGTAAATATTAAGAATGAACTTTAGAGAAGAATAATTGATCACCACACAATTACTTACTTGTGTAAGAGAAATTACCTAATATGTAATCAGAAATTACATATGGGTTTATGAAAAACAAACAAACAAAACAAAAGGTGTTGGACAACTGGGCCGTTGATCACATTTACCCATCCTCTTTAATTTTGGTGCAAAATTCTATCTCACTTATACATTAAAATTTATTGATATTATTTCTCTTTAACAGATTCTAAGGAGATAGTAATAGTATTTACCACTGTCCCAACTGCTCTTACCCTGTTTAAATGACTACAAGGACAGAAGAAAACACAAATTAGAACAGATACTGAGTATTTTAAACCTAGTCAAAGAGAAATAATTCATAAAACTGCTATTATTAATTCTAATTCATGTTAATACCAAATATAATAAAAATGGAGGCTTTGCAGTTACTAGTATAGTGCACATAAAAGTGTTAACAAGACTTGATCTGTATGAATGCTATTTCTGAGTTCATAGTGCTTTTATACTACATGAAGATAAGACAATTTAATGAAATCTTAAAATTATCCTTTTTTCTTAGTGTTCTCAATAATAAAGCTAAATATAAAAGTGAATGTATGAACATTTGCACAATTAATAATATCAAATCTCCTGTGCTATGTTGCAAGACATATTTTCATTTCCCACTCCCCATATTCCAATTTTGGAAAATAGCCCTGACTGTCTATTTAACTAAAAATCAATGAATTAGTAAAGGCAAGAAAAATGTATTTTGTAGCCATATATAATGATATAATTTTCAGTAGTAAAATATTAGGGGCAAAGCTGTGGAGACTAACTATGTATTAAAAAATGTTAAGGTATTTATAAAAAATTGAAGCAACCCCAAGTTTTAAGTGCCTTATAATAAAATATTATCAAGTTTGAGTATTGTAACTTTCATAGTTTTTGTATTAACTGTCAAGAAATTAAATTATAAATGAAAAAAATTTGCTTATTTGTTCTATCCAACAATTGGATTGGCTAGAATCAATCTGCTTATCACCGCAGCATAGTGACATTTTAGTGTATAAACCAACATTAAGTATAGTTATCCTTATCACTATGATATTGTGACATTTTAATGTTAAGCAAATATTAAATATAGTTATCCTAAATCACCCAAACCCAACTTACTAGTTGTTTCAGCATTGCATATGCACATTTTAAGATTTCATTAATATTTTCAAAGTTTATTGCTCCCATCAAAAATTTCTATATACTACAGATAGCTACAAAAAGAATTAAACTGATAGGCTTCATTTACTTAAATTTAAAACTCTTTAAAAATACATTTAATTGCCCATATATAGTACAGATTATTTGATTTTAAAACTCAATAACCTAAAAATGGTCGTCAGTAGCTTACATCCAGATTGTGACCTGTGTTTCATGTGACAGAACTGTGATGAGATGCTATCTCATCAAAACAATGATGTTAAACAAATACATTCAGTAATAATCACCTATAATAGTTTAATGTTAACAGTGATATAATTTCCACCTACACTCTAAATTTAATGTTTTGAATTAAAATTCTTTGAGTCAACTTTTCATTTTATTTAAATCAACATAATTGACTCTTAGACAATAATCATTCAATCCAAAAGCACCCATCACATTTTCTAGGGTTATAATAGTCTCTAAATTTTATTTATACAATTTTATTTTTATATTATTGCAACTAATAGTGTTATAATGAAACATAAGAATAAAGTCTCACTTCATATTTAAAGTATTAACTACTTTGTATGAATGTGAAATTGAAACCAACCTAATATATTTTATGAGTAATATCATTGCCATCAAACAATATTTTCTAATTGGTTCAATCATACCAATGTAATATTCAATAATCCCACCATTGTGGTATCTAGTTACCTTAACATCACTTCCATTTAAACACATTCTATTTATGCGGCTGCCATTAGGTCGGCTAGAATCAATCCAATAGATGAATTCTTCGCTGTAATCAAAATCTATAGCAATAACATTGTTTAATCCCTAAAAAATAAAAAAGAATATGTTTTCCATAATAGTTAATATAAATAATTATAAAATGTTTTAGGAGTTAATGGAAATCATTATCTCCCTTTGGGTCTAAATAGTTGTATCTATTATCATAACATTTATAACCAATTCATTTTATAAGTATCATATGTTCACATTTTCTCCACATCATACATCTAAAGAGATGCATAATTAATTTGAAAGTATTTTTCAAATAGGCCATGAAAATTCTGGAATGTTTTAACATAAAAAAAAATCCAACAACAGCTTCTAAGGAGATAAAGTTAAGTTTCCCCCCTTTAAGTTAATGTTAAACATAACTTTGATGCTATTATAATCTGTTCTTTGAAGGATCCATAAAAGAGCATACATCTAAACTGGAAAGGTAGAAGAACATCTTGTTAAGAAGAGTCCTGTATAAAATCTGATGCGTCAGAAAAAAATTTTACTTCCCCCAAAAGCTCTTGTCCCAACAACAACATAAATAAGCTTCCTTTTTCATATTTCAAATGGCCCCTTAGGCAATACAAGATTATATTGTATTCAATTCAGATTAATGTAAAAGTTAAAACCTTATTTGACCAAGGCGAAACTGGGTAATCAACATCTTTTATTCTACCTGGTAGAAATGTGAGGAAATGTCTCCCTTCAGACTCATGGTTATGCATTTTTTAGCAGGTAACAAAACAACACAAATTCAACTGATAGTTTTCTGAATAGTATAGCTTTTTGGTTTGGCAATCCTGCTGTTTGATTTTATTCAAGGATTGTACAACCAGGATTTGGGAATCTTGTTAGTTGTAGAAATGTTCAAATGATTTCTTGGGCATAAATTTAATTATCACTTACTGTTAGGGTTCATATGTTTATTGCCTCAATAGACTAACAAAGCTTATGTCATCATATCAATTGGATTGGCTCATTTTAAGGCCTAAGTAGTTTATTCATATATAAATTTTGTGGATTAGAAAATAATTCATGCTGTAGACACTTGATCAAGCATCAAAACATTCTCATTATATTTTTCTTATTATATTTTTATACCTATGTAGAGCTTCTTTACATCAATATTCTCCCTAAGGTTATTGTTAAGTTTCAATTATTTTAGAGATCATTTATGAGTAGTTGTAGTCCTATGGGTAAGGATTATTATCTTCAGGGAAACAGGTATTTTTCTTTGCTTTGGTTTGATTTGAGGGATGAGATATGGAAATGAAAATAATTCTAAGATCTGAGTTCACTCAGACATTTGGAATTTTATAATAATCGTAACCTTATATTTATGTAATTCTTTATAAGATTCAGAACAAGGCTATTGATAACAGTTCAGATTTTCTTTCTTTCTTAGGATATCCAAGATTAATGATGACTTGTGTTCAGGAGTAAGTCAGAGGATGCTCTGGCATATATTGCTTTGTTTTGATCTTCTCACAGCAGTATTCAGTTCTAGTAATAACGGTGTTAAAACTATAGCTTCAGGCTCAGCACCTGTAGCTCAGAGGGTAGGGTTCCAGCCCCATATACTGGAGCTGGCGGGTTCAAATCCAGACCAGGCCTGCCAAACACCTTGACAACTACAACCAAAAAATAGCTGGGCACTGGGGCGGTGCCTGTAGTCCTAATTACTTGGGAGGCTGAGACAAGAGAATCACTTAAGACTAAGAGTTGGAGGTTGCTGTGAGCTGTGATGCCATAGCACTCTACCAGGCAACATAGTGAAACTCCGTCTCAAAAATAAATAAACACTATAGGTTCAGCTCTTACACATTTAATTGTTTTAACATGAGCAATCTCTTTTTCTTGAGCCCCAGATTATAGATAACCTGAAATAGACGAGCCCCACAAAATTTTATGCCATTGGTCATAAACAACAGACATAGGGTGTAGCACAACTCAGTGCAAATTCCTCACTAAGCCCAAATGAATAAATGCAAGTATCTTTCTTACTAGCATTACTAATCAAAAATAATAACTATAAAGGCTACAAAAAGGGCAACTAATATTCAGTAACAGATTCAAAAGAATTATTAAAGATACATTCACAACCTACATACTGGAGAACTCCTTAACTAAATGCACTTAAACATACATATCTAGGAAGTTATTTTTGCAAAATCAGTCAAGGTTATAAACCATAAATCAAATATGTTCCAGACAAGCTCAAAGAGAGTTTAATAAATTCATTTCAATAGTAGTCTACAATATCCTTTTCATTGAAATGATTTTGTCTCCAAACAATAATGCAAATGGTTTTGGATTCTGTTATAGCTTGGCAATTCAGAAGAATAGATTAGAAGCTTTACCAGGAAAAGAGAGAGAAACTTGTCTTTAACTTTAGCAAAGACTTACCCACAATCCCCAGTTACGGCAGAATTATCCAATTCCCCCCCTTTTCTTTTTACAATAATCAATTTAGATAACAAAAAATCCAATTGCAAATTTAGCAAGTCAAGTATAATAAACTAAAGCTATAAATGGAGAAAAATTGAAGCTCTGAAATCTGTCGTATCTATCTAGTCAACTGGTCATTTTTCTATGGCTGTACCCTTAATCCCCACAGAAAACAGTGCAATGCCTTGTTTGCAGATCATATGCAAGGAACATTATAACAGCCAGGGGCATGGCCAAAATACTGTCTGAAAACTAGAGTCATCCCAGTGGTTTCAGAGCTGAAAATTGGTTTCATCAAAATCCTATTTGCTTCTTTCATTTTTGTAGCTGAAGATTTGCACCCTTTGGTTCAAGATAATTAATTTAGAAAATTGTGTTTTGTTTCTCTATACAATTTTACTGGAATAAAAGCACTGATAGAATTGAATTAAATAGCATATTGGAAAGGTACTTGATTAATTTTCTTTCCTAAAATCCATGTTATTAAAGTATAATTTCTAAATATGGTATACGAATTTAAGTTATAGCTAGCCTTGCTACAATTATGTGATAGAATATATAGGGTAAGAAAAATTCTACAAGTTGTTATAACTTCACGAGATTCTTACTGATGACAAGAAAGAGAATAAAATTCAAAATATTAGGGCAATTCATCCATCCTAATCAGCTACACATACAAGTTCTGAATAATTAAGACAAGGATGTGCTTTATTTTGGATGAGAGAAAACAGAGACCCCTTCACTGATCTACTTCATTTTGTACATGTAGACAGAATCTCTAGCAAATAATAATAATAATAATAATAATGATTTCTACTGCCTAGAACTTTAAAAATTAAGTTTGGTTAAAAATAAGTTTGATTAAGTTGTGGTTAAAAATATGTTCCCCGGCACTCTGAGAGGCTGAGGTGGGTGAATTGCTTGAGTCAGGAGTTTGAGACCAACCTGAGTCAGAACGAAACCCCATCTCTAAAAATAGTCGGGCATTAGATGGGCACCTGTAGTCCTAGCTACTCATGAGGCTGAGGCAAAAAAATCACTTGTGGCCAAGAATTTGAAGTTGCTGTGTGCTATGATGCCATGGCACTCTGCTGAGGGTGATAAAGTGAGAGTCTATCTCAAAAAAATACCTTCTCGGACAGAAATGATTTATTTCCAAAAGCCCTCAGGCAAGACTGGATGTATGACTTATCTTTAGTTCTTTGGGTTTCTTTTTTTCTTTTTTCTTTTTTTTTTTTTTTTTTTTGCAGTTTTTGGCCAGGGCTGGGTTCTGACCCCACCCTCTCCGGCATATGGGGCCAGCGCTTTACTCCTTTGAGCCACAGCTCTTTGGGTTTCAATTTCTTTACTTGGTGGTCACTATTAACAATCTCTGTCCAAAAACACTAGAGTTCATGGTCTTCATGAGTTTCCTTATCTTCCTCACTTCTTCTTCATTCCCATAAACACTACACTAAGAAATATATCTGAAACTCATCTGTACTTAGGTATCATTGACTACATTAGTTTACAATGATACTTAGAGGAAAAAGGAACTATACCAAAATGTGCATTAAGTAGTTTTATTATATAAAATAGACATAAATGATGCATACAGAAAAAACATTTTGTTTCATTAAGAACAATTTCTGAGAACACATTATCCATGAAGGACAACACAAGTGGTTCCACTATAAATGTCCAGAGCTACAGAGTTAGAAAATAAAGCAAGGAGCCATCACTGAAGCTCTATTAGAGTTATTTCATCAAGACATTGAATATTGTTGCTATATTAGTTAAACTTCTGGTTCAACTAAGCTTAAAAATAGAGTATTTTAAAGGGAAAACTTTCTCCTGTTAAATTGAAGTAACACATTCTAAAAGGAGTGAATGCTTTAAAAAAAAAGTTAAAGAAAGAAACTAGTAAGGACAAATTAACATGTCCCTTTACCTGAGACCATTCTAGGAAATGAATGACTGACCAACGCAATTTTGAAGTTTTAAAAGGGGTGTGGAGACAAGAAAGATCCATAATTGTCAATATTTTCCAATATTTATAGAAGTTTCAAAGTAAATTGTAATGACTATTTAGATACATATGCTTAATTTTTCTTCCCATATATTTTTCCTGTATTATTCATCTCTCTTTTTTTTTATTTCTTATAGCATAACTGTGTACATTAATGCAATAATGAGGTACAGTGTGCTGTTTTCATGTACATTTTGAAATACTCTCATCAAACTGGTCAAGATAACCTTCATGTCATTTTCTTAGTCATTGAGTTAAAACGTTGATCCTGCAGTTCCTTTATTAGGTATATATCCAGAAGACCAAAAATCAAATTACAACAAAGATATTTGTATCAGAATGTTTATTGCAGCCCAATTCATAATTGCTAGGTCATGGAAGAAAGCCAAATGCCCATTGACCCACGAATGGATCGATAAATTGTGGTACATGTACACCATGGAATACTATGCAGCCCTAAAGAAGGATGGAGACTTTACCTCCTTCATGTTTATATGGATGGAATTGAGAAATGTTCTTCTTAGCAAAGTATTATTCATCTCTTAAAGAGATTGTTGTCCATTTCTTATATTCTGTTTAGGTTTTATAAACAATATGAAAATATTTCATATTTTACCCAATCTCCTAAGGATCCATATTTAAGAAGCAGTACAATACAGTAGATGTTGATGACACACTCCAAACTCAAGATCAAGAGGCTAAACTGCACAGGCCTTCAGGAATAAAACAAGTATGCACGCCGTGAGCACATGGTCAGTCTGAAGATGGCAGTGCCCCTGAAGCTGGGCTCTATCTATCTCAATGGCAAAGCCTCTACACAGTGTGGATTGTGACCAGTCAAGAATGTGAGCACAGCACTACTACACTTTCCTATTTTTTCATGAGTAGTCAGAAATCTGGATTTTCATGTGAAATTTTCCATTTCAATCTGTGACCTAGAGGAAGACTGGAATCAATATCCCTTCAACCAGTATAGACATATTTGCACTTAAAATATTACGAGACCCTAAAACAAAATAAATGAAACTCTCACAACTACAGAGAGAATTCTGTCACAACCCATCAGGCTCCTATGGCCCTGGTCTCGGTTAGAGCAGGAAGGAACCAGGAGAGAGGCGGATTAGAAGTACAAGCTTGTGGAAGGAGGGCTAGCCCTTACTTTCCGGGTAGCCCCAAGCAACCTCTGCACCAGCCTTTTATTGAAAGGGAATGATACAGGTGAGGGAAGTAATTAACAATGACTACATGCTGAGGGCATGGGCTCCTTCTCCATACCGAGTACCTGTGGACAAGTCACCTGAGAGTCCACCCCTCAGCTGTAAATCATCTTGCTTAGAGGTCATTTGTCTCTTGGCATCCTCTATAGAATTCTATCAGTGAGTAGAAAAATAATTCTAGTAGCAAAAATAATTCTAGTCTTCTTTATGTTGCCAAAAATAAATATAGCACATGAATGGTGTTTTTTATTATATAACTAACATTAGCACAAGCGTACTACAAAAATAAGAAATGACCTTCATTTTGGCACATGTGTTCTAGACAGGGCTTTTACAAGTTTGTGTCACTCATACAGTTTGGGGAAATTTGTAGCAGAAGAGATACAAACAGAAGAGAAAAAATCTTTCCAAGAAAAATATTTCTTTCGATAACTAAAAATATTCTGTGACTAACTGTATGTGATTGACCTAGCCCATCTCATAATTACTCTAGCTTATATGATTTGATTGTGCTCCTTCTACTGCAGATAGGGAGAAAAACAAAATGTTTAGATGAAAAATTCATAGTTTTATTTCCTGTTATAAAATGGAAACCATAACTTTTCATCTGAGAAAACATATATAAATAAACTCTGACTGTAGGACTGAAACACCAAAGCAAATCACCCCAGGCTCTCTTGAAGTGGGTTGGGTTGAGGGAGGAAGAGGGTAAAACTATGAACATGTGACCTCATAGCTTCTAAGCACAACTAGGTTACAATCACTCTTTTGCTCACTAGCTAACCGAAAATTATAATAGCTAGGTATCATCAATACTGTTTCTTTTGTGCTCTGTGAAGACAAACATTATGTTCTGAAAAAATAATTTTAATATTTTTTCAATTCCACAAGATGCCTCAAACAGGAATTTTATATGTCCTCTCATATAGCTATTATTGAGATGACTTTTCCCCTTCATTAATGATATCTTGCCATCTTTACTTTCTTTGGTAAAATGTGATATTACACATTTGGAGCATCACCTACTCATAAACTAAACAAGGTTTATTGTGATCCTATACAGGTACACACATGCATGTAGTGTTTAAATTCTAGCTGTTAGGTATTCCTAAGCCTCTAACTCATACATTGACTACCCATATTAAAAATTATGGAATCATCTTGAGAACACCATACCTGTTTTAAAAGTGTATAGTTGGAGCCATCAGTGCTAATTTTCCTTAACTCATGATGATCAGCAAGAATTAGAAAAGGTTCTTCATCTAAACACGAAGACAGAGAGTATATTAGATTTTTAATGTTTATAGTTTTCCACTGTATGGAGTTTCAGTTTAGTTGAACAACAATGTGACGTCAAATGTAGTGCTGCTCTGGGAGATTAGCAGCTAAAAAAAATCATGTATTAACCTGGATTGAACAGGAACACATTCTTCTTAGTAAAGCATCACAAGAATGGAGAAGCAAGAATCCAATGTACTCAATTCTAATATAAAGGCAGTAGATGATATAACAGAAAGTGGGGGTAGGGAAATGAGGGAGCAGGGAGAGGGGAGAGGGAAAGGAATGGGAGTTATGGTGTATGGCATACATGTGTATGGCACCCCTCTTGGGGTGGGACACAATTATAAGAGGGACTTTACCTAACAAATGCAATCAGTGTAACCTAATTATTTGTGCCCTCAATGAATCCCAAACAATAAAAAAAAATCATACTGAGCTACCTAGTTGATAGTAAAATGAAAAGGCAGCATACATCTAGGCAGTACATAAAATCTAAATAATTCTTAGTGCATCTCCTTCTTACCCTTAATGTTCTTGACATTCACATAATTTATTTGGAATTAGTGGAAAATATCTGCTGTCACAATCTGATTGTTTTAATGAATTTCAGAAAAGGTCAATGTACAATTATCTTAGAAATCTACAGTACTCTAAAACATTCAGATGATCAGAACATTCTCGACAATCAAATAGCAAACAGCAAGTGCTCTCAGAATGACCTGGATAAAGACCAAAGGTCTCAATACATTCTTTTCCTCTGCCTGAAGAAATTTCTGAACTCCAGATTCTAAAATTTTGCTTATTACTTTTATCAGTTTTTCATGATTCTTATTTTTGAGTCTTATTCCCTTCTAATGAGCTTCTCCAATGTGTTTTCATATCTTATATATTTTACAATCTAGAAATAAACATGATAATGATCAGACCATACTTATTATACAGAAAGTCCCCTGAATCATTAGTTTCATTTTCTTTTCAGAATTTATTTGGAAATAAAATGAATCCTAATAGAAAAGAAATTTAGAAAGTTTTATAAGGTATATTTATTTTACTATATATTTGAATAACTTAAAGCCAATTTGACCAAATACTCAATTATTATATACCAAGATCAATTGAGTAAAAAATTTTTTCAAAATTTTTAAACACCATTATTACCAAGACACCCATATACTTATTTGAAAAATGAACATGTTGAAAATAATTAGGGAAAAAAAACACTTAAAAAATGATAACTTTATGTAATTTAATGTGGATTTTATTATAAACCACTCATTGTTACTGTCCTGTTTAATTGTTTGAAATTATTCTTTCTACCATTGTCTTTTAGT